AACTGTGTACTACTGAAGAACAGGCTGCACTAAAAATCAGCCTAAACTAAACAGGAATTTAATCCCCTTCCTTCCCACAGCATAATCATCAGCCTGTAAATATATTATTACAGCCCATAGGACCCTTGTTGATTCCAACCAATTTGACTTACCTCAGTGGCTTCAGTGTTATTCTCTCCCATGTTCACTGAGCTTATTGAGCCTTCAGTGTTGATGCTCATTTTGTGCTTTGAAGTGAAAGGGTTAAATGTGGTTAACTGTAAATTTATTGTTTGTTTTGCATGGCTTAATACAATCCTAAGCATTTTGGTTAACATTTCATATTGCTTTAAAAGATATACCATGTTGCACTGAGCTGGCTTGTATGTTTTTGGATATGTTGCATGCAAACTGTGTGATCTCGTTCTCAGCATTTCCCTGGTGACTCTAACAGTTTTAAAGGCTTCCACATCACTTAGGTACAGGAAACACATTTATTAATCTTAGAGATAAGTCAAAAGTCACATACACACACACACACATGTATAAAATCTACTTGTGCCTACATACACATTTGAAATGTTGGCAAGCCCTGTGCTGGACTTGGTAGCATTTTGAATTTTTAGCGCAGAAGGAGAGTTCTCAGACAGTTGCAGTACAGCTTGCAAAGTAACAGTCCCTGCACAATCCACATGTTTCTGTGCACAGACATGTATTTGTGTTTGAATTCATCACAAATTCAAGAATGTAAAATTCATTATGTTAGAACTGTACTGATGGAAACAGTCACATGAATCCTTATACGCTTGAAACCAGTTTTTTACCCAGACATCCCAGTGGAATGTGCACCCAAAGTATTTTACCCACCACTGAATGTGACCCTGAAACTGAGCAGTAGTGGTAAAGCAAAGGGAGACAAAGCAATCTCAGCTGATATGCCTGAGGAGAGTGGAAAAGGCAGAGCAGCTGTCTCTCAAGATGTCTAATGATACCCCTCCATTAAGAAAACAAGTAATTCTTTAATTTCAGGAGATCTTGTTGTGAACTTAAAGATAAAACAGACAACCAAACACTTTTCTAATTTGAGAAAGGAAGAGACCAGGGCATTCATTTTCCAGCATCACAATGTGGGACCCTTTCCACTTAGGAAAAACAAATCTCTGTCTCCTTATCTTTTCCTTTGCTACAGATTCATTGACTAATGAATTCTTACCAGCTGTAACACTCATCTGCACGCCTAAAAATCAACCTTGTAAAAGCCTACTTGCTCACAGTGAGTAATTCTTTTGATGAGTGAATAATTTGTCTCCATGGAGGGGCTTATGTTTGGTTTATGCTTTTGCTGCTTAGGATAACATGCAGTGAGAATTTACATGTTTTGTATAATTCAGTACTTTACCTAAGTGTTGAGGGAACTCAGTCAGGAGTCAGTAATTTCATTTTTATTGTCCTTGACAGCAACTGAATAAGTAAATACAAAATAAAGGAAAAATCAAATTATTATCTGAGTCTGATTTTTCTCAGGATTGCCCCAATAAAGGATGCAGGAGATAATGGGATGGCCAGGATGGGAAATTTCCATGGCAGATTTTCAGGTGCTTCCTAAAATATTTTCCATTAAGTGTGCCTAGAGGTCCAGTATTTGTGTAATTATCTGAAGAAAGAGGTCTTAACTTTTCTTTCCTTCTTTGGTTTCCTTCAGCTAATGGCTCCTTAAGGCTCTGCAACCCACATTTTTCTTTACAGAACACCAGAAACAGCATCCCTTGTTTTCACACTTCAGAGAAGAGACAAAAGAGACCTTTTGGCAAAATGTCAGCTTGTGTGACTGGTAACACCCCCCATCATTACAGACTATGACTTGTGGCCACCTTAGACTCAGAGGTGAAAACAAAACACATACATTTTATATTGGCCACTTCTCTCAATTGTATTAATTTAGCAGTAGTCATTAGCTGGTGGAGAGGGAAAATAATTTCCATCAAGAACCTGGGGGCGGGAGGAGTAGAAGATAGCATCTGACATTCCCCCTCTCCTCCCTCCCTTGGTTTTCCAGCATTTTCCCTCCAGAGATGTGGTGTGAAACCAGCTCACATGACAAATTAAAGTGATTCATGACCCAGCTGCAGTCCCTGCTGACAAGCCCCATTGCAGAGCAATCATGCAGATTTTATGCACCCAGAGCCCAGGGAAGGGCCTGGGTCATGGCACACGCCACACTTCAGAGCAGTCTGACACAACTTGGCTGAATTCATCCACAGCACGTGAAGGCCAAATGGCTGTCACTTGACAGCAGTTAATAAAGTGGTTTTAGAAGGGATATTTTCTCTGCTAAATTAAATTTTCAAGACACCACCCTGCATCTTCAGCCCTTATCTTTTTGTCTGGAATTTTTTTTTTCTCTCCTGTCAGTCTTATAACACACAAACAGGGATTACAGAGATAAGCCTGCAGTGTGGTTCATTCTGGCAGTGGCTTATTAATCACAGTTAATTTACTCAGGGCCATATATCCATATATATATATATATATATATATATTATATCCATAAACTGGATAATTCAGCTGTGATACTCTGGTCACCACAACAAAGTCAGAAACAGCTCAGGGCCCATTTCAGAGGCACACCTGCAGCCCCAGGTAGGCACCACAGCAAGTGGAGGACGGCAGTGGAGCAGAGCAGCAAATCCCTCCCCACACAGAGCACGGGGCAGCAGCACTCGTGGCCCCCACACTGGCAGAGCCAACGTGCCAGGCCCAGACCCATGCAGGGGATCCCCTCAGGAGCAAAAGCAGACAGGTCTATTACCCACATGCTGCTGAGTAACGGAGACCTGGCTGTTCCACATGGTGACCAGCAGCCACAAGAGCCACAAGATAGAAAGTGCTGTGTGCCTTGACTCTTAGGGAATGATTGTGGAAAGACTGAGACCTGGCCAGACCTGCTAGTTTAAGTTTTATCCAACGTGGGATACTGGTGCTTCTGCTTCGACCACAGGAAGGTCTAAACTGTGGGGAACACCTTGTCTGGACCTCAATCATTCATGTCATGCTGACTGCATGATGGTTGCTCTGGGAAAACCCTTCATGAAGAGATATTTAGAGGTGTTTCCACTGATGCCTCTGGTGAGGAACAAAAGCTAAAGCAAAAATGCAGAGCAGCAAAATGAGGGATTTCAAAATAATGACCTAGGCTGATTTCAACTCTGAAGTAGACGGAAGGAATGGAGCTGGGATCCGCTCCCATCAGATGGAAATAAATTGGACTATTTCCCAGACAGATTGGCCCCAGCTGGGAAAGAGAAAGAAGGCAAAGAGGGAAGATGGTTCAAGTAGGAAAACAGAAGCTCTGATATACTAGGCATTTTCAAGAAAGTCAGATTAGATATATTATCAAATCAACAGCATTAGATTCAGCTGGCAGCATCCTGGGAGCCAAGAGACAAAGCTTGTCAAAGCTGATAGTAATCCAAGGTGGAAGAGCAACCAGGCTTTGTGATTTTTTTTTTTTTTTTTTATTTCTGACCACGACAAAAACTGATCTGCCCCTCACAGGACACAGGGGATGCACTGGAGGATGGCAGGTGCTCCAACATCTCTCTCACCTCTCCAAGAGACCTTAGGCAATAACCATCATTGTCATTTCACCTCCCCATGCCTGGCTGGAGGAAGGCTGGCCTCCCCGGCTGCTTGGCAGGAACCCTGAGTATTAATTAACACATTCTTAGACAGAGTTCCAAGCCTGTGTTAGAAACTTACTTAATGAAAATCTTCAGCCCCTCACAGAACCTCCCCTGAAAGGACAGGGATGGGTTGTCATGTCCTGTATGTTGTGACAACTACCTTCACGGTCAGAAATTCTCAGGGGTTCCAGATGCTCCAGACAAAAACAAACCAAACCTGGGCAAGAGCCCACAAGCTGAAAGCAAACAATAAACGAAACAAACCAAATCACTGATTAGTGTTGGCTCACTGCTGCTCAGGTGGCCATGATGGGGGCAGTGATTAGGGGAGCCTGAACCTCAGCCTGTGCTGAAGGAAACACAGCAAAGTACAGCAGTCCCTGCTTTGCCAGCCTCCAGGATGGGAACAGGAGGACATTCTTCAGAAATCCCAATGGCACAGTAGTGGGAAAGGAAGTGAGGCAGGGCTGGAGCAGGCTAACAGAGAAGCAAAACCAGCACCCTTAGAAACCACGGTCTGGTCTCAGGCAGGATGGCCACAGGCAGTGGAAACAGGAAGCACAGCAAGAAAAGCCCAGCCAGTTCCTGCTCTATTCTGCCCCCTCTCCCTCCCCAAAGCCTGCACCAGACCTCCCACCTCTGGGAGCAAACGGGAGCTCTTCCAGTGGGGTCTTGAAATGCTGCTGCCAGTGGAGGTAGCATTGAGTCTTAGGGCTCCCCACTGCCATCAGAACTTCCCTGATGCTCAGTCTATGCCTGCAGCCTGGATGTGACCTGGTGTCACTGCGGGGAGGCACTTGGGGCACCAGAACTATCCACCCCACTCCTGCACTGGCTCTCTGAGCTGCTGGTGGCTGACGCAGCACTGGGGCCTCAGCGGTGCTGACTCTGCAGGGGTACCCCGGCCTGACCTCCTCCCACTCTGTCCCTGGTCTCAGTGCAGGGAGATGCCTCAGCAAGGGGACACCCCAGTGTGATGCCTCTGGTCTGAGGGGTGTAACCAGTCCTGGCTGGTCTTGGCTGTCTCTGGGCCTGTGATCTTTCTCAATGCCTTAATCTCAGAGCGGGGGGCAGTGGTCTACCACCAGCTGAGCCTCAGCATTGCCCTGATGAGATCTGCAAGGACAGCAGATACTCCATGCACATGCTCCAAGGGGAATCTTAAAAATAGAAGGCAGCAATGTGTGGACCATCTCTGCCAGGTGCTACAGCCACAATAAAACCAGCATGAGCCAAGCCATCTGGGAGGAGCTTCACCCACACACTGTCCCCTAGAAGCTGGCTGTCACATGAGGAGTCCTTCAGTGCCTCTGTACTGAGCTTGGGCTTGATGCCTGCATGACTCTGCTCCAACCACCCCAGGTTGGTATCTGGGCAGGTCTCTGGGGCCCAGGCACCTGCTGCCTTGCTGCTGTTTTGGAGCTGTGGGCACTGGCGAGTCCTGCACCAGTGGAGGAATTCAGCATCAGGGAAAGAAAACTGAGCATTGGCAAGTCCTTGGAGGGCGATGTGGCACAAGGATGACGGGCGGGCCCTTTCCAACAGGGAGCAGCGCCTGGAGGCTCCGCCCGCGCTGCCGGCCGTGGCCGCCAGAGGGCGCCTGAGACCGCGGGCGGCGCGCGGCTGCAGTGCCAGGAAGGGCCGCCAGGCGGCGCCAGGGCCGAAGGGGTCGCGCGTCCCCTCAGGGCGCGGCGGGACCCGCGCGGGGCTCTCGGGTCGGGGCCGTCAGGGCCCCTCCGTTAACTCCGAGATCAGCCGGTCCACATCCCATCCCTGTAACTTCGCGGCAGCAGCGCCCCAGTGCCGTGCAGGCGGTCCCGCTCCTTCCCGGCCGCTGCTCCGGCGGAGAACGCGGCTCTTCCCGCGCCTGGCTCTGCGCACTCGGAGTGGCGAAGACTCGGCCCTACCTGGGCCGGTCTGGCCGCTCCCAGAACAACCGGCCTTTGCCAGCTGGGACAGCAATGGACGGGGCAGATGGAATGCCAGCTGATACCTACCTGCCAGTCTTTCCAAAGATAGAAGGAAATGCCCATGTGCCCAATGGAGGTGGAGAGCTGATCTGAAAAAAGCAAACGATCTTTCAAAGAAACATTTTTTGGAGGAACATACCCCAAGTTCTTGAGCAGTTTGGAACAGGGCTATTGTACCCGTGCCAAGGGTCACAACTGCTTCAAGATGTGTGAGACAACAATCAAGAGGGTTGAGGGATGTTGCTTCGTTGAAGATATTTTCTGCTGAGGAGTGCTCCATCGGTGAAATGTCATCTGCTTCCTCCAGTCCCTGTTCTCTTCTCAGGATCCTTTGTCCAGGTAAGCAGGATGGGGTATTTGTAAAATATCCCATTTAGTTCTCAGGGTCTGCCTGAGACAAGGATGAGCCGTGCTTTCTGGTCACAGCTCCTTCCCAGAGCAAACCAAGCAGCTGCCTCCCCCTCAGTCTGCTCATCTGAGTCTGCACCATCCCCTTCAGGGACATGTTCAGCAGAGCTGAGGAGGAACGGGAGCTGGCTTGGCCCAGAGCTCCTGTTCGCGCTCAGGGACTGGGGAAGCACATTGGTGATATGCAGATGTGTCAGTAGTGCCAGAATCAGGTGGAATTGAGGAACTGACTGACCAGACAGAGCAATGTGGTGTTACACTCATCTGCTTCTCTGTCCTGGCCACACAGGCTCTCAGGGGTCCTCTTCCCTAGAGATCACAATAAGATTAGCTGTAAAGGTGTTCTTCAAACAGTGATTTGGAGCCAGAGGTGTCTTGAGGCTGTCACAACAGAGGTCTGATAGGTGACCCCAATCTTAAAACACTTTTATGTGTAGTGGAGGAACTTCTGAATGCCTTCAGACCTCTTGGTTGCAAGGTGAGTATCAGCTGAAAGCAGGCTGGGCTACAGGAACAGCTGCACTGAGGAGCAGGGCTGAAAACACACCTCATCTTCCCATCCTGCTCTGGCCTTTGGCCTCAGGCAGTATTACTTATTTTTCCCCCTTTGACCAGGATTGGCACAAGGCTGGTACAAAGGCAGAGAACACATACAAAGTGACTCTTATTCCTAATTTCAGAGGGGATCTGGCTATAGAGTATGAGCCACCCAGCAGAGCTGCTTTGCCCTGGGATATTCTATTTCATGCTATTTCAGGCAGCAAAGAACCCTCTTCCTATTTCTTAACTCCAGTCAGTGAGGGACGATCCACTGAGGCTGATGAACCACTGACCAACACTTAAACACCAGTTGATTTGGTGTTTAAGAAACAACTTGAAGACAACTATTTTGTGGCAGGGAGCTGGCTGTTTGCAAAAATTTCCACGATTAGCACATCAAAGTGATGTTTTTGGGCTGGGGAGAATGACTGCTCCAGTGAGAAACATCAGCCAATTCCTCACCTCCACTGCTGCAACCCAGCATGGGTGTACCCTTGCCATATCCCTGTTTGTTCCCCAGGACCTGGGTGGAGCTATCAAACCACTTCCCACAGACTAACCAAAAAGCTGAGTAACATCACCTAATACCCTATATTATCAGATTAAATCTGTTGACATGGGAGTAGAAGGCCAGTGCATTCACCTTTGGTCATCATAGCCCTCTGCTGGTCCTGAGCCACAGCCAGCACCTCTCAGGTGACTACCCCAAAAGAATGCAGAAAGAACCATTTACCCTCACAACCATGTCCCATCCTGAGCCAGACAGCTCTAGCAAAAGCAGCACCATGCACTCACTTCAGCCGTAAACTGCTCAAATTTGCATTCTGGTTGTGTGGAGATTATGGGGGAAAATCCTGCAAACAGCTGCTTTTGCTTTTTGATCTCTTGCTGGTTTTACAGTACTTGCATCTCTGTGAAAAGAGAGAAAAGGAGTCAGTACCTTTCTCCTTAAAATACTGTTAATATTGTTTCCATTCCCTTCTTGGTTCTTTGTTCCCGATACCACATGACCAAAAACCAAGAGGAACAAGTATCTTCTCCACACCACTGAGGAATCCACTCACTTTCAGTTTGTACAAATAATAAAGGATTCAGAAATTCTTCTACGAAACACGGTAGCCAAAATACTCTTGTTTACAGCAGTGGCTCAACCAACATTGTTTAGCCTCTTGCCTTTGCTCAGGGAGACGGAACTTTCTGCTAAGGTGTGCCGTCCTGCTGGCTGCAGCCTTCCTCATCCAAACTGAACCAGGCCTGGAACTGCTCCATCACAAGCTCCCTGAGACACATGGGTTATGCTACAATTGCACCGGCCTCTAAACATGCATGCAACACAGAGTGGGTTCTGAAATCCCACAAAGTCCACAGAAGCAAGGGCCGTTCTCATCTGGGATAGGGCAGGCCACAGACCAGTGGTGGAAAAATACAGGACCAACTTCTGGTCCTTCCAAGACAGACCCTTCTCGGGTAAGCCTGACTGCACTGACCTCAAACTGAGTCATAATGTGGCCACAGGGAACCTGCCAGAAGCTGTCCCAGGCACAAGGGGGCTGGAAAGGATCAGTGAGGACGAATGCAATGCTGCTGCTCCTTTCCTCTACCCGCAAAGACCAGACACTGGCAACAGCTTATTTTCATTGAGCCCTAGTGGTGTGTAGCTGGCTGAGTGTAGGATAAAGTCTGACAATCAGAGCTATGGAAAACTTGCTCACATTTTGAGCTCTCAGGGCTCAGCAGTTTTGACACACCCCTCTTCTTCTCCATGATAGCACCTCCCTTTCCCTGCCCCTGCCCTTCTGGAAAGATCCAAACTAGGCCGGTGTTAATAGCTGAGGTCTTTATTTAAAGTTTTTTATATACAGTAAAAGTGCCACAGATAAATCTGCGACAATCAGACAAGACAAATGTAAATCTCTCTCAACAATTAGCAGCTTAAGATCTATAAACTACAGTGTTACGTTCACAAGTGTCATTTCTGTACTTTTCAACCCGTGCAAGTGAGTTTTTTTTATTTTTTTACACTTTTAAAACACACTTACAGCTAAGTCAATTGCCTACAACTATACCACCTGGCATACACAACACAGACACACAGGGTAACTCTTTAGCCACTTTCAGAATTCATTTAAAAACTGGCAAAACTACCCAATCTTGAACCCTTTGTAGTTTGGCTTCTTTTGTTATAATGCCTTTTCTTTTTTTTAATTAAAAAAAATGCATATTTTCAAAGCTGACAGACAGTGCTTTCCTGTCCCAGTGTAACACACTCATAAGTCAGCAGTTCATCTGATCCCACCTAAGCACGCATGGCATTGGAATAAACCAGCACTGAATAAATACAGCACTGCTGGGAGCATGCTGAGTATCCTTGAACTAAACTAATGAGGCTGAGAGAAAAAACAGCTTTATAAAAGTTTTAAAAGTAATTTTTTTTGCATCAAGATTTTCTTTCTTCTTTATATTGAAGGAAATGGGGGAAACAGATGAACTTCACTTGAACCCTCAAATGTTAATGAGAGGTGCTGCTCTTGGAACTTACACAGCCCATTATATTTTTCCCTTTTAATGTGCCAAGGCAGTATGTGCTAAACACATCTAAGCAATTTCTGAATCACTTCAACTCCGAATATGAAATGTTTTGGGAAGCATTCTGCAACTCAGTGATGGTCACTAAAAAGTTTTTATCTACAAAAGAGGCCATTAAAGGTACTCACACACGCACCCACATCCACAGCTGAAACTGTCCTCTACATCATCCAGAAACACTCCATCAGGGAAGCAAACACAACCATATACAAGGAAAGGGAGCTTTAAAGCTAGAATCACATTTCCAACAACATCATCATCAAGCTATCAGAAATCATCACAGACTTTCAAATTGAAGAGGGAGGAAAACTCCAAAATGTTCTGCTGTGCAAAAGGCAAAACACATGGCAGTTATGTTAGGATATGAGACGTGGATGCAGCATGATATATGATGTTACTGCAGACAAGTTTCTGGAATGGAAGAAACTGTTGAGAGAGAAAGAGACAAACACTTTGTCCAGACCCATATAATGGCCTTCACCAAAGAGTTCTGAGATGTCAGTTTCTATTAAGCCTGCACCTTCTGGCAAAGCTAGCAAATGGTATTTACTTAATATGACAGAGTTGAGAAAATAAATGAAATTAGGATTTAAAGAAGAGGGACAAACACTTCCTTAAGTACTACAGACACTGAGTGTTCAGAGCCATTGGCTTTTAACTCCTGCCTGATTTGACAACATAAAAACCTACCTTAAGCAATTCTAGTGTGAGAAGACTGAGAAAAAGAGGTACAAAGGCCAGGTTTCAGAAAAAAAGGCAACAAAGTATTTCAGTTATGTGCCAAATCAGTTCTTACTGTTATTCACACATTTCTTTCTGACAAAACCTGCGTAATGGGAAGATGATAGCCAAGAAATGTGAGTCACTAGAGAAGAGCCTCACTGGAGCCAGAAGCAAGGGAGGGAATGGCCACGCACCTCTGCTCTGGCTGTGGCACTGCAGAAAGCACAAGCAGTTTTGGCTTGAGTCAGCTGTAAATGGCAATCTTTGTTTTAATTAGGACAGGAGCAGATTAGTGCACATGGTGACAGAGAGGTGTACTGGGATCCCTGGGGGAAGGGCACCTGAGTTTCCTGTGACTACAGAAAAAAAGAACCCTTGGAGGAAGAAAAATGGTTGGACAGTGGAGGGCTTGCCTTTGCTGGCAATCAAAAAACACTCAAGGTATTAACCTTGTTTGAGGGAATTTCTCAGAACCCAGCATCTGCATCATAGCACAATGCCCATGTATGTGTGTATATATGTTGTACATGTCTCATACATGCCCATGTATGATTTCAACTGGTTTAGGTCACTTGGGCAACATCTGATTCTTAGAGAGAAGCTGATCCTGGAATGAAGGAAAACAGTAAGACCTAACTAAACACCATAAATGGCTTTGACAGAATCCTGGAGGTTTTTTTTTTTTAGATTTCATGAAGACAAAAGATGAATCTTGGCACTGTTATAGTGAAAGGGACAGCAGTTAAAAATCAGCACAGAATGAACAGAGATTCCTTGGACTTGAGGGCTGCCTGCCTGTACCAACAGGTCACCAGCAATTGCACATTGTGAGGACTTGGGGTTACATTTGAAGCTGACGTTTCCTTTCAAGATTTACAAAGGTGTCTGCACCAAGTGTTGGATCCTGTGGCTGAAAAAGAGGATGGCACACCACAGATACAGACACACAAATAATCTTACCAGAGTCTGACAGGAGGAAAACTTTGGTTTCACTTTTCAGTTTTTGTTTTTTTTTTTTTTTTTTTTAAATTAAAAGTATTTTTGAGATAGCCATTCTGTTAAGTGAACTGTTGAGTCAGTAT